ACTCAAAATTAGTTTGACTGCAAATGAAAAGGTTTAATCACGCAATCTTATTTTAGGGCAAGGTTAGTGTATATGTTGATATAATGTTACTAATATTGAAAATATTTGCATATGTTTGAGTTCAGAAGGTATTTGTAAATGATGTTCAGAAAACAAATACTGCAAAGGTAGAGCTATCTCAATGTGAAAACTTTTGACATTGGAAGATATCAGAAACAAACTGAAGCTGAAGCTGTCAATCATATGAGAAGCTGCTAACACAATGTTGCCACTGTGGAGGATAAAGTGATTGGAAATTCGGAATCACCAGATCAAACACATATGCAAATCAACAACTATATCAAAATGCAAACTAAATACTACAAGCCACAAATATCATTGACAATTGCACCACAATTTTCGTGAACTTCAGTCCAAGAACTGAACTAATTCGACATTTTGGTTTCTTGCTATTTCGTGGAAAGCTGATATAGTACTATACAGCTGTGCAATCCCTAAAGAATGATAGCAGAAATGTGCTGTGTCGGAAAAGGTATAAACACAACAAACCACGGAAGCGAACCCCAAGAAAATCTCCTTTCCTACTACCAATAAAATAGGACAACCAACCAAGCAAAATAATTAAGGAACTGATAAAATAAAGTAGACATACAAATTTACGTGAAAACTCAAATCGGGAAAAACTACGGGACTTTAATAGCAGTCAAATCTCCACTATCACAATAATAGGAAAACAGTCTTCACCAACCGGTGGATACACAGGACTTCACCCAAAGGTGGATTACAACAATACTCTTCCAAAACACCTACCACAGAGTAGGACTGGAAGGATCTAACCCAAAGAGAGCTAAACCGAAAACTAAATCCTAGCTTTCTTTCTTTTCCTCTCGTACAAAAACAATGCACGGCTGCCCAAACTTTTCTTCTTTTCTTGGCTGGAAAACACACACCTAAAAAATTATGCCAAAGCCTTGCTTTTATAGAGCAAAAAAACCTAAAAACAGAAACCCAATTGGAAAGGGTTTTGTTTCCTAAAACCAAAGCCAAATTTGGCTTGGTTTTATTTGTTTCCTTGTTGACCCAATTGAGGGGAATACCGGGCCAACAATCTCCCCCTTCACCTCAATTGGCGGGTAAAACCAAACCCGCTTCCTGTCTGCAGAACAGAAGCCTGTCTCTACTCACAGTCTTTGTCAACATATCGGCACCGTTATCATCCGTATGGATCTTCTCAAGAAACAACGCCTTGGAGTCCAACACATCCCGGATCTAATGATATCTCACATCAATATGTTTAGACCGCGAATGAAATGTGGAATTTTTCGCTAAGTGAATAGCGTTCTGGCTATCACAATGCACCACATACTTCTCTTGCTTCATGCCAAGCTCTTGTAGAAACTTCTGCAACCAAAGTGCTTCCTTACAAGATTCAGTAGCTGCGATAAACTCTGCCTCTGTAGTAGACAAAGCAACACATTTTTGCAATCTACTCTGCCATGAAACTGCTCCCCCTCCATAAGTCATCAAGTAACCAGAAGTAGACTTCCGACCATCAAAGTCACCCGCCATGTCAGCATCTGTATATCCATCCAACATGGTCTTCCCATTGCCAAAGCAAAGACTCAATCTGAAACTACCCCTAAGATACCTATGAATCCATTTCACAGCATTCCAATGTTCCTTACCAGGATTGGAGAGAAACCGACTAACAACACCAACTGAATGAGCTATGTCTGGCCTTGTGCAAACCATTGCATACATGAGGCTGCCAACTGCCGAAGCATAAGGAACCTTTTTCATCTCTTCCTTATCTCTCTCACTTTTAGGACACTGCGTTTTGCTTAACTTAAAATGCCCTGCAAGTGGAGTCGAGACTTCCTTAGCACCACTCATGTTAAACTTATCAAGAACCTTCTCGATATACTTCTCTCTCTTGTCTGACTTTTTTGTCACAAGAGCCTGCGACTCAGACTCAATACTCTGCTCTTTTCTTCTGACTTCTTCATTCATCAAAGCCTCTTTGACCTGATCCAAGGTCAAGACAGCATCCTGGGTTGAATTAATGATTGACACTACCAAAGTGTCCCAACTGTCTGAAAGAGAACTACACAATAACAAAGCCTGCACCTCATTATCCAACTTTAAACCTACATTCATAGCTTGGTTCAACAAACCCTGAAACGAACTCAAGTGCTCATTCATGCTAGCACCATCTTTGTACCTCAACCTGGTAATCTGTTTCTGCGCGACTTATTGATGCCGGACTTCTTCCAGTATATATTCTGGATTTTCTCCCAAAGTTCATCAGCTTTTGTTTCTCCCGAAAAATGATGAAACACACTTTGATCAATCCACTGTCGAATATTACTAACAGTCTTCATGTGCATATCAGCCCACTTTTTATTAGTCATATCACTTGGCCTACCTTCATCCCCTAGAACAGGATCAAACAAATCTTTACAATACAACAAGTCTTCCGTTCTAGACTTTCACATATGATAATTGGATGAAGTTAATTTAATCATCGTACCAGTACCCGATGACTCTTCTATTTTATTGGTGTAACATCTCAACTACTGAACCGTAGCTCTGATACCACTGTTGTAGCGGAAAGGGTATAAACACAACAAACCACGGAAGCGAACCCCAAGAAAATCTCCTTTCCTACTACCAATAAAATAGGACAACCAACCAAGCAAAATAATTAAGGAACTGATAAAATAAGGTAGACACACAAATTTACGTGGAAACCCAAATTAGGAAAAACCATGGGACTGTAACAACAGTCAAATCTCCACAATCACAATAATGGAAAAACATTCTTCACCAACCGGTGGATACACAGGACTTTACCCAAAGGTGGATTACAACAATACTCTTCCAAAATACCTATCACAGAGTAGGACTGGAAGGATCTAACCAAAAGAGAGATAAACCGAACATTAAACCCTAGCTTTCTTTTTTTTCTCTCGTACAAAAACAATGCACGGCTGCCCAAACTTTTCTTCTCTTCTTGGCTGGAAAACACACATCTAAAAAATTATGCCAAAGCCTTGCTTTTATAGAGCAAAAAAACCTAAAAATAAAAACCCAATTGGAGTGGGTTTTGTTTCCTAAAACCAAAGCCAAATTTGGCTTGGTTTTATTTCTTTCCTTGTTGACCCAATTGAGGGGAATACCGGGCCAACAAAATGCGACATGGCATCATAGAAAACTGGGCAGCATGTCACGCGACACTACATTACATTAACTTTATGAACTTTCATATGGTTGCAAAGCTAGAGCTATTCATTTCAATCTTTTAGTTTTAACCGATGTACAGTTTAGGCGGAAGAGCAAGACTACGACTATGACAATGTAGAATTGCGGCATCAATGGAGAAAGATCGAAGAGCTGATAAAGTTGTCTCAAAGTGGATGAAGTACCAAGGGGTTCAATAGGAAGCAAATCACCATTGCCAACACAGACACTTTGAAAAACAGAGATTTGTATTTCCATGTCATGTAATGTACAATATACAAGGGTATATATAGACAATAATAAACCCTATACAAAAGGTTACTACTGTAAATATAATTATTACAATACTTTCCAGAAACTGACGACGGATAAGAGAGAAGTCGAAATTTTTGTCGAAAACTATTATTATTATTGTGAAGGATCTATTACTTGTGAATTTTGACATATCATGTTCTCACAAGATGAAACTGTCTCAAGACAACTTCATGTATATTGACATCTTTTATTGAAGATAAAATTTTATGATGATAGGAAACTTCCTTTAAACTGAAGTTCGTGTCCATCTATCCTAACATAATATTAGATTTTTATTTGTGATATAATTGATTCTCAAAATTGAAATTCAAGGTAACCTATTTTAGCGTCAAACTAATTAATTTTAGTAGCAAGGACGATGCATATGTATTAAACATAGAAACCGAAGTGTTGTTTTGATGGATTATGTAAAAGCCCCGTCTTAACATATATTTTGGACTTTCGTTTTTCTAGTATTTCGAAATATTTCGTCAAGAAAGGAACAATGAAAAAAGAACACTTGGTTTCTTGAAATATTTCGTTTTTCTCGATGGGACGTAAAATTTTAATCTGGATGCACAAGATATTTTGTTTTTCCCATTGGAATTGAGGATGCACAAGAAAATCCTAAGTTGGTCAACGAATCCGTTGCCACATAAATAATCCAAATTAAATAAAATGCCGACGAAATATATCAAATTATCCAAAAATTACCACAAAGTAGTTATATTTCAACTTTGCTTTTACGATTGGACATCAGAAACAGAATTAGGACCCGTAACGATAAAGCCCATTCCAAAAGGGATTATTAGTAAGATCTAATCCTACTATTATAAAACAAAACATGATGTCTGAAAAAAATAAGGTAATTAAAATCCCAAGACAGAGGAAGTCTTCATAGAACCCTAAAAATACATTATAATTCTTCTTCTTCTTCTTCTTCTTTTTCCGTTTCGATACGAACCACCATTATTAGATACCAAATATACCTGGATACTAGATCTTGCAGCCATGGTGAGTTTATCAGATTTGCTCGAAGATGTTCTTCATCAAATATTTGAGTATCTTACAACCGAAGTACCTTATCCAAGGGTCTTTTAAGCATAGTCCGAAGGCGTCCCAACATTGTCTTTGATATTCAATCAATTTTCCGCAAGCTGGCAATGAGTTGGGATACCTTCGTGGAAAGATACGGAGAAACATTAAATTATTTGCGGTCGGCTTTGGAAACATACCACAACCAGAATATTCATCTCGAGAGTTTTATAGTCAATGCATATTGGGGTCAGCGCCAAATTCAAGCAGATCTTCATAAGCAATGTATTGAATTAGCCACAAAAAAGAGTTTAAGGAACCTCCACTTGCATAACAACGATATCTTGCGTTTATGAGTTTTGGAATGTAAAACCGTGGTGCAATTAATTTTAAAATCTTGTGCCTTGCAGCAGCCTAGAGGAGGAAGAGTGATGTGGCCTAATCTCAAACGACTATCTCTTGAAAGGGTAACATTCGAGGCGGGGACATTTGAGGATATGATTGGGGGATGCCCTTTGATCGAAATCCTCGAAATTCAATTTTTCTATTGGGATATCATGCAAACTCGTTCCGAACAAACCAAGCGATGCATGCATAAGCAAATGAAGATTACCAATCTTCATAGACTTAAGCAACTTAAGGTTGGGTTAGTTTTCGCGCAAACAGTTGAAGTGAATGAATCACAAAGTTTGGAGTCTGTAGATTGTACAATCGGTTATCAACACCTTGATAATAAGGCTAAAATTTGATCAACCTGAATACCGGAATCTCAAAAGTTTGACCTTGCGTCACGGAAACGACCACGATTTGTCAATTGATGATGGCTGGGCGCACAAATTCCCGCAACTCGAAGAGTTGTCCATTGAAGGTTATAAGAACTTGCGCACGTTCAAGGTGTCAAGTCCTTCCTTGAAGAAAATACGACTGGTGGACATTTGCCAACTGAAGCAGGCTCACTATGATGTGCCTAATGTTACTATTATGGAATATGAAAACTATATATGCTACAATTCTTATGGTGGGCTCGTGTTTCCCAAGTTCTCATTTAATGTTGTCAACCCCGAATGTAATTTTCGCATTAAGTTAGGACACAAGACGGACGTGGATGATTCATGGTTAGTCGAATTGAAGGAATTCGTTACTAATCTCGAACCATCTAAAACTTCTATGAGCGTTGATTTCACTGGAGATGTGGGGAATCAGAATTGGTATACGGGTTCTTCAGCATCACCTCGAGCATTTCTTCATGGTATTTTTTGGATGTTCAAACCTCAAACCATAACATTCCGGCACAAATGGTTACTCGATGATGAATATTACAAGATAATGTATCATATTATGGTGTTGAGAATTGATCTTGCAGGTCTTTGTAATTACCAGCTCTCCAAGTTGTGGAATGTGAAAAAAATAACTACCTTACCACACACTTTTAAACACGGTATTTACAGCACAAACTTCTCAAGAAAAAGGACACGATATCAACTGTCTCAGCCATTGCCCAACCGTGAGAAATTTCTGGAGCTTTTGAAGGAATCATTCGATCATATGAGATGTAAGGAGACGGAGCATGGCGGAATAACTGTTAGCTTCAATCTGGAATGGAAAAATCTGTGATATTGTGACAATTCCATCGAAGAAACAAAAGATCGAAAATTTTCATCACAAGTATTAGTTTATTTTTTGGACACGAGACTTACAAAAAGTAGTTTGTCTGCTTGTTCCCTTTCTTCTAGTAGTATTCGAAATTCTTTTTCAGTTTAGAATTATTAATTTTAGTATAAATTGAATTACAAGTGAAATCTAAACTAGACAATACTTTTGGGACAGAGTGCGCATCAGTTTTAAATGTTGGCTCACTATACATTCATAAATTTATACTAAATTTGTTTATTGTTTGTGTGTGTGTTTTTTCTTTTCTTGTAACTTTTATACTGATATTGTTCCAAGTATCTGTCCCCGTAGTGCTTGAGCAGCGTTCCAAATCGGTTAATTGCTAGTGGATTTGTTGTATTTCCGGTCAATAGTAAAGATAAACAGCAAAAAAGAACAACAAAGTGCTCTGCTGCTACAGTTGAACACTAAATTTTCTGCTACAATGTAGAAGCAATAAATTGGTGCCTCATCGAAAAATTAGCACCACCTCAAAACACCATAATAGTACAAATCTCAAATTCTAAGTTGGATTATTTATTATTACTATTATTACTCCCCCGTCCCATAATTATTGTCTACTTTGCCCAAAAAATTTTGTCCCAAAATTATTGTCCAATTTGACTTTTTATGGATCAAGTTACACATTTGTCCTTAGTAAAAAACATTATCCATAAAATCTTAGTGGTTAACCAATTACTTATGTAGGGGTATATCCGGTTGTTTAAAGTAAAATATAATTAAGTTTGACCAAAAATAAAATCTTTCATTTTAGTAAAACTGGACAATAATTATGGGACGGGGAGAGTATTATTTTGGATAGAGGGTGTACATAAGCTCTTTATTAGGAGTGTGTCCGAAAGCACTGCTCTCAATAGAATGATCGATTAAAGAAAACCTACTGATCAATCTACGATTACAGTTATTTTTTTATTTTGTTTTTTCTTTTTTGTGCTTCCTTTATTTATTTATTTATTTTGGGGCTGTAGATGGCCTAGACTATCATAGTATTACATTTCAGTGATGTCTTGTCGCTATTAGATCATGAAGTAGCCACTCATTTTTTGCACGAGAATCTCATTTTAGGTTCGTAAACTACTTATGTTATTGTTACTACAGTTCTACAAGGTTTCTTCACAAAGAGGAAAAACATGAAAGACAAAAAAAACCTTTTTTGTATTAGACAATAAAGAGTATTTTTTTGGGCAACTGGAGCGGTAATATTAAAGCTTCGGGGGCAAAATAAACTTATGAATAAGAACACAATCTTGAGCTTATTCTTCCAAGCAAAATTGATCATTGTATCACAACAACACAAACAACGCCATTTATTTTTTAAATTTTAAGTAGCAAGATTTGGTCGTGAATGTGCTTCAATCACTTGTATATGATTTTGTTCATTTTGCAAAGATTGTTTTAAATTACATCTTTCTACTTTTAAACTTCACGTCTGGGATTTAAATACATAAAATAATGTAGGTAGTTCAGACTTAAGGCGCGTTATTCCTTATTCATGTATCATTATTCCTTATTGCATGTATCACTACTGGGAGTGGCACGGACTAAACTTACAAATAATAAAAAGATTATTATAAAAAAAATTTAAAAAAAAGTACGATAAGGACTATTAGCGCAAAAAATAGGAGGGGGAATATGGTTTCCCCGGATGCACCCAATAAATTGCCGCAGACAGAGTTAGCTTTATCACCAGAGAGTGCAATTTTCTACGATTTTGTAGGGTATTCTCTGGATTTGTCCCCCTCGAACCATTACTTACCAATGCGGTAGCGAGGGCAGAGAATTCTCTAAGCAATTCTATGATGTGTTGACATCGGAATGTTTTGATGCCGGTGGTACTTCATTTTTCCAGCTCACTAAGTTGTGGAAAGTTACAAAAATTGAGATCTTCCAATCTAGTATGCATTGGCATGGCATCCACTACTTCAAAAGAAGAGAACGAACTTTGCAGATATGTCAACCATTTCCAGAATTCGAGAAGTTTCGGGGAAATTTAAAGGCTCATTTGAAGGAGAGTAGATAAGTGTGCCCAAAGTAACTATTAGCTTCAACTTGGATTGGATCGAGAACTTATGAGCATTGATCGGGAAAAAAAATTCCAGTAGCTAGTTTGTTTTATGATTTAAATGTGGTAGACAAAGGCTATTTCACTTTACTAGTTTTTTTTGTTTAGCAGTGGACAAATAGCTTTGTTCTTGGGGATTCTTTATTGTGTTGGCAAAAGTTATCATTATTAAAGGGTCTAAGTGTTTCCTTCATTCCCTTTATACTGGCGGTGTCATGGTCCCGCGACGAAACCAAAAGATTGAAGTATCACTTCATAGTTCACATGTAATGCATTGTCTTCTGCTTTCTAGCATGAATAATTGGTACTTCTTGGTATGAGTTTGACGAGCCGTCGTCACACTAGTCAAATAAAATTATCTACTTAACACTAGTGCAGTGGTAAATAGGGTCGTACCCACAGAGAAGAAAAACTAAATACCAGTTATAAACTACTTCTTATTATTATTTAGACATATTATGATATCAAGTTTTGAATTAAAATAAAACTAAAGCTAAAATCAAAAATTACAACTACTTTCAAAGTTGACACAATCAAGTTCAGAAAACATATGACAATGGGTTCACCTACGGAATATTTGGTTTAGTTCAATTCATAAATATCTGACTTTTAACTTCCATTAATCTCACAACGATTCCCCTAATTAAGAACTACACACTCTTGCACTATAATTCTTTTACTTAGATTAACCTTATTACTACTATCGTGATTATAGGGATTAACAAAAGTACATTAAGACCATTAAGAATCAAACAGTTGCAAAGGTTATAATCTTACTCTCGTAGCTTACAACCTAATTTTATTATTCCTACGAACTAATACTAATCTTTAACTCTCGCTACGTCGATTAGTATGTTCAGACATGCAAATAGTGACCAATTATTTACACGAATTAAAACAAGAATAATAGATATTAATTAATGAAAAAGTCAAATAATATGAATTAAATAAACCAAATAATCTGGTGGCTACATCCAAACCCGAGGTTAAAGGAATTTAGTTACTAAACATCAAGAAAAACAAAGTGCAAATAATAATGTTCATGAACTAAATTCTGGAAATCAAAATTAAAACTCAAAACAATATAACCGGTTGGGAAACAGATCCGTGAAAACCATCTGGCCTTGAAAACAACTCCAAAGCTCTCGCTCCGATGTTGCTTGCCGTTGCTGCTTAATTCTTTGAGTGCGTACGGTTCTTCTTTCTTCTCGGCTGCTGGATGTTCAAGGCTGATGGTGATGATGTTTGTTCGGTGATGGAGTGATACATAAAGAATGATAGGAGGGGAAGATTAGAGTTCAGAATAGAGATTGGGATGAGGAAGAACCCTAATTTTAGGGAGGTGAGAGGTGAACGGGGAAGAAGGGGAAGCTGTGGCAGAAGGCAAACTTTAGATTAATTCCATTTTCTTTTGGTCCCTTCATTACATCAGTAAATCTCACCATTTATACTGCTAAATAATAACTATACCATATTACATAATGATCACCATAGAAACTCGTAATTCTAATTAAGTCCTTATGCCGTTACAACCATTCATCTAATTATGTCCGTAACATTACCCCACCCTTGAAGATTAGGCTTGTCCTCAAGCCTCACACCTTGAAGTCATCACAGCAGAAAGTTTCAGAGCATAAACTCGAGTTGATGGAGAGTTGAGCTAACCTGCCTTCTTTTGCTCGAATTTTGGCTATCAAGCCTCATACAAAATAACTGTGCCACCTCTAAACATGGTTACAACTTTGTCCCATGATTTTACAATTTGAATAGCCAAGTGCAAGTCCTCCCAATACTTCCAGCTCTTCCATTTAGCTTGCAAAGCTGATGCAACACCAAACAAATTCGAAGGATCCATATTTTCATGTATTTGAAGAAAATGATATCCCAACAAGAAACCCTTCCAAACAGAGAAGAAGTTAATATTGATTCTCCACATTGTCAATCTAAGGAAACACAAAGATCCTGTTCCAACAACCAATACCCGAGCCAAAGTTCCTCCTTTAAATATAGCTTCCAATCCTGATGAATGGTTACATTAACCGATACATCCGAGGAATCATTATGGATAGAGCTTACATTACCTCCAAAGCTTGTTTCATTTTCAAGCCACCTTAACCTATTTACAAGGGCAGCTAAAAGTGGCTGAAAAGAGTCCTCGCCACATTACATAAAAGAGATAGAAATACGAGTTTCTAAGCTCCTGATTACATCTTGAAGATGAAATGTAACCATTTCTCTATCCGCCAAACAATATTCAGGAGGACAGTCATCACTCTTTATAACGTAAGTCTCTCCCTTAAATGCCATAAATAGTAATTCATAATCGTCAACTACCATTCGTTTAGTACGATAAAAATCCAATATGATCAATCCTTTTAATCAAGATAAATTCCAACAAGAAAGTCATAACCAATGAATGGATCAATGTGGTTATAAATGTATCTAATGGCTCCGGAAGCTAGATAATATGCCTTAGTTCCACTAGGATTGACAACTAAAGGGCTCAGAGAATTGCCTTTACTTGCGACACCACTTACACTAGTTAAGAGCATACCATCATCATCCATCAAACTAAGAGAAGTGCCACCTCTGAAACTAGAGACTATCTCAGGCCACGACTTAAGCAATTCCTTAGGTTCACAACCCTGAAGAACACCTAGTAGTTCCAATTCATTTAAACTCCCATAAGTCTGTGTGTATACCCCGTCCAAAATAGAAGCACTAGTGCCTCCCTTAAATCCCGTTAGTAGCAAACCAAAATCATCAACTTCCATTAGATTAGCTATAAATAAAGTCCCTACAAATCATTTTTGAGGAAGATAAACTCCAGCAATAAAATAATGGCGAATCAAAGGATCTACGGGGACAATAGATTCTACAA